ATGAAAAATTTTCAAAAGTATAAGGTCTTGACGCGGAATTTTACAAAACTACAAAATCAAATACAAGTACTTGTTATGATAGCTCTACTTGTTTGGTTAAATTCTGTTGCTAGTAGATTTCTATTGGGCCTTTACGGAGGGTTCCATGTGCTAAATGTCTCCAAATTAAACATATTTGGATTTTTTTTTCAAACTAGACGGAAAGTCAAAGATTTGAAGTTAAAGAGTTTTTAGACCAAGGCTAAATAAAAGGTTAAATGAATTCATACAAAATTGAGAAAAGGTATGTGAAATGTCAGATCGTTCACGAAAGCTGGTAAGCGATTAGTTCTGTCTAATCGCTAATTTTGACATTTGTTATATCTGGTTCAATCAAGTGAAAAATGAGAAATAATTAGATATTCTTAAATTTTCAAAAGTTAGTTTCGAGTTCAAAACATGGATTTTTGTGTTTTTAAAAAAATGTTCATCTGTTGCCAAATTAACCCTTAATTATACAATTAACTTTACAAACCGACTTAAACTTTCTATATAAAATCAACTCTAAGAGAAAGGGAAGGAAAGTATATGAACAGACAAAATGACTGAAAAAAAAAACAAACAAACAATCAACTAGAAATCGGTCGCTTTGTTACTGCGTTTTTGCTTGGATGTGAAGGAATTTTTTCATGGGCTTCTAAAGACAAAGGTTTTCTCTGTAACACTTGTTGAGTATCTGGCCAATTTTAGTGATACGAATTTTTTTCTTAACTAAGTGAACCCACAAAAATTACAGGCGACAGAAAACAATTGAGATATTGTGGCCGAATTGGCTTACTTGATTAGTAAATTTATTAAGTTTTTCTGAAAAAAAAACAATTGCAAAACAAAACATGTAGGTCAAAAATCTTTGAGGCTATTCTCCGGGCGAAGACTCAAAGCAAACGAGTCAGATCAGTGATTTGTGTAGACTTTTCCAATCATGCTATAAAAAATAAAATCAATTGATTTTTTTGATAGTCAGCATGAACACAAGAAAGTACAATTTCTGATAATTCAAAATTATTGTTATTTGTTTTTTTTTCAAAAACTTTTCAAAAGTTTGTTTTTGGTTACAAGGTAAGACAATGGTGATAGATTTTGCAAATTTTGCAGAAAAAATGCGTTTTTTCTTCAATTTATTTCTCAAAAAGCAAAATGCTGACTAGAACAGACAACAATAACAAGAAAATAGAACAAGGATTGCCAGCTATATGTTCCGCCTATATTAGTTTAATAATATTAATGGCGTTTTTGTACGTTTTACGTTGTGAGACTAGAGAAATCTATAAATGCGTAGAAAATTAGTGAATTGGGAATAATTGACATCAGTTGCTTCAAAAAATGAATATCAAACAGAAAACTTTTTTTTCTCAAATCGTTTCTTAACTTTTTTACAGAAAGATAAATTTTTACACATGGAAATTTTTTGAAAGAGCTTTCACATTATCTACGGCTAGGTTCATTTCAATAACTTTTTGTGATACCTGTTTTTTTTTCTGAAATAAAACTAAAACAGTCCTGACAAAGCTCCTGTATAATTTTTCATTTCCTTGTAGTCCAATCAAACTTAAGTTTGACTTTAGTTGTGATCAATCAGGAGGAATACTAACCAATTAGCGCTAGTCATTTATAATCAGGAAAAAATTTTCATTAAAAGAAGTTCTGAGCTAAAGTTTTATCTAATGAAAGTACACTTTTTTAACCTCAGTAATTACCAATCACAACAAAGCAACAAAGGAACTAAATCAAAAATATGGTTGTGCACTTCAAAGCAAGTTTTTTTTAGTATTAGGACAAAACACTCGCCCTCTGTCTATCTTTCGAGCAGAGCCAGAATATTTCAATGATCAGACTTCATCAGTGTGACATCACTAGTATCAGGGGCGGATTTGGGGTGGGGGGATTCGAATCCTCGCCAACCAAATGGTCACCCTTCGTTACTTTTTGTATGACATCCATTTTTGGCGACCAAGTCTAAAATTTTCCTAAAGTCGCCTTGGGTGCTAATATATACTAATTTTGAAGGGGAGCGCGCGCTGAAAACGCAATTTACTGGTCAAAAATTTTTCAAAATGTGCCAAAAAAACGGCAATGTTGCCCCTTTTTTAAAAAAAATTGCCTACAGCACAGAAATTTTTGTTAAAATGATCTTAAAAGTGATACGGGAGCGCTTGGAAAATCAAATTGGTCGACCTAAAAAAAATTTTTGGGATTTTTTTTTTGAAAAACCGCCTCCCTCGAGAAAAATTTATATCAGCCTGACTAGTATCAACAATTGTTTATAAAATTTACTCTAAAAAAATGTAATACTGATAAACCTTTGTCAGCGGTTGCATTTTTTTCTTTTCTAAAGCACGGTTAATACAAAATATTGAGGAAAACAAAATTGATTCTGGCAAAATTACGGTCTCAAAAATGCCTGCTTCAAATCAAAATGAAATAATCGAATACCAAGGTTGCATTGCAGATTTCGTCATCAGGAATGAAGACATGACATTGCATGCAATGCGGAGTTTCAAAAGTATCCCGATAGCAATTGATATCAGGGTTGCATAGAAATACGATTTAAATTAAAAAAAAAACAAATGAATCGGATATTTTTGATTATTTAAATCGATTTTTTGAGTACTCATATCAACAGAAGCTATCCGGACCTTTTTCGCTCTCTGTGCTTAATTATATTCTAAAACCATTCCTAAAACAAAATCAAAGCTTGCAATTCAAAAATCGACCAATTTGACGTTGCTACTGGCGTGTGTCAAGGTGGCATTCTTCCTTTTCTCAAGTTCGTGCTTGCTATTCATCATATTTTTCGAAAAATTTAAGCACAAGCCAGAGGTTTGCCTTTATGGCCTTCCGTCGAAGTAGTCAGTAATTTGGTATTTGCTGAAAATAATACAACCACTTCAATGTTGCCAATGAAAACCTCATTCTTTTTCATCTAACTTTCGTAGAATCACATAAGAAACTAGGAACCATGGTAAGTTGTGGGAAAAACTGAAATCATACAAACTTCGCCTATACTGATGCCCTAAAATATACAACGAAACTGAAGTTTTTGAGGAATTTTGCTACCTCGGAAGAATTATTACTCAAGATAGTTCGGCTGGTGGTGACATTTCTTGCCGTATCAAATTGGATTGTGTTACTTCCGACCAGTTTTGTAAACTGTTAGGTCTAGCAAAACTAAAACAGAATCCTTTATGTCTCTATTGCCACAATTTTTATATACGCTAGTAAAACGTGAACGTTCTCAAAACCAGCTAACAAAAAAATTGAGGCTTTTCAAATTGAGGCTTTTCAAATCCTCGGCAAAAAATGGACTGAGCAGTCACCCAAAAAATGATAGATAAAAAAAGATTTCTGAAAAAATCCGGCGATTTTTTACTTTCGGAATTGACACGGTTTGTTTTGAAAAATTGAACAAAGTCTACAAATAGGCGAAAGGTCATAAATTAGTTTGAGGAAACGTAATTTTCGAGGAAACCAAAAAAAATCCAAAAACTAACAAAATTTTGAAAAACTTCGAAAAAAGAGACTTTTTGCAGGTCCAACATTGCTTTTCTACAAAACTAGGCGTAGCCCCTATACCAAGAAAATTTCTACCGCCTTTTACTCAATTAAAAACTTCATCTATTCGCAGGTTAATTTTCGACAAGCATCTACAACTTCTAAGAAAAGATTTAAATTTCCAAATGGGACAATTTTTATGGCCAAACTTTTTTCTACTAAAATTAGGGGTATGTCGCTACGCAACGAAGAGTCCTGAAACCTTTTGAAGCGTTTGAACCATTAATTCTATATTTAATCGGGCAGTTTTCGATTTTATATAATGATCAACAGCAAAAGTAATCCAGTTATTATTCTGCCAAAGAGTCACCAAATAAATGAGCCTTTCTATTTGGGACTTGTACACAGAGAGAAAACAAGTAAATAGAGAACAGACCAGGTTAAATTCAGCCTTTAACTTTGCGATGTTTTTCGGATTCAAACTTCTGACCTCGAGATTGGAGAATCTCGTCCTCGCCAGAGTAACTTGAAATTTGCTTACACTAGCCATCACTAAAGCAGCTAAGGTTGCTAATAAAAGGACAAGGCTATGCAGCAAAAAAACGCACTTATAAACAATATAAACCACACTTATTTTGCAGTCTACGAATTGAAAATTTTAAAGGCGAAATAAATTATGCATAGCAAAAAATTTGGAAAATGAATTAAGTTGGAATATTTTCGAATTGAAGTTTTTAGATTTTACAATTGTACCATTGTATGAAACAAATATCTTCTGTCTGTTCAATTGATGAATGAAAAAGACATCACTTGTGTTGAGGTATTGCTTATCGGATATCAAAGCAATTGCAGTTAAACTGGTAATGCTGCCAGTAGCCTAAGTGCCACCAAAAAGATAGTAGCACTTATATTTGCGACTTAGGTTGGAAAAAATAAGTCTTGTAACAGACTACGCTTCGCTTTTGTAAACACGCAGTAGGGTCTAATTTGATTTCTAAAGCACAAATTGCTTCAACTATACCCACCAAACCCGATCTTGTTATGCTTTTGTTTGAAAATCTTACTTCTTGCAACTGAACAATAGAATTTCGATACGAGTTCAAACAGTGCACTGGATAGGCGCGAAATTTTCTGACTGTATGTTCCTGGATTCCAGAGACAAGTCTTTAAAAATGTAGAAACTTTGTTGGAACGATCAAAGAAAAAAAACAATAGAAGAACGAAGAGAGTGTCCTTGTTGCGGAATCTGCTTACAATTCACTAAACGCACAGTTTGGCCTCGTAATGTTTATAAACTTGCTCAAACTGTTTTGAGGCAACAGAAAAACTTCGTTCGAATCACTTTCAATCGTCGCTTTGGATTTTTAGTAATTAATTTATCCTGTAAAGCTTTGTTTCCGATTATACACTTCTTGAGCAGCACAAAACACTACCTTAACTGCCAAAAATCCCGACTTGAGAAAACTCTGTCTTTGTAAGCGTAAATTTTAGCCATGATTCATATCAACTCTCAACCGTTCAGTTTAAATAAGTAACATAAATAAAACGAAGTCTTTTTTAGGCAAAAGCAGTTAGTAAGTTTTGTTGAAGGCTGCAACAGGAACTGGAGGTCGCCCAAAAAGAGATTGTTGTTGATTTCCGGCTAAAACTGAAGACGCTGCAAAGAAAGGTGGTGCCATTCGCGAATTCACATTGACAGTATTTGAAATGCCTACACCCATATTATTTCCGAAAGAAACGTTTGACACCACTAATCCACGAGGCGCTGGTGGAGGAAGAAAGTTTCCAAAATTTGGACCCCTTATCGGAAAATTGGGGGTCACGTTTTGGTTTCCAGGAAACACTGGAGGTCGCAAGATACCAAAATTAGATCCCTGTGACGCTTGATTAGCCATCATCAAAGGCGGAGGTCGAAAATTGCTCTCATAAGGCGGTGGTGCGAAGACATTTCTCGGAGTTGTACTCATGATATTCCCTCGGTACAAGGGATTCTCGTTTCCGTTATTGAAAGACATCGGCATAGAGTGCGGCGGCGGCATGGGCGGAGGAGGCATGGTAGGTGCGAAGTTCATAGACTCTTGAGGAGGCATTAAACTAGGCGCCGAATTAGATCCACTATTTGAATTGAGAGGTCTATTTCTTGATGCGATAGCATTCGGATCACACGACATAATCGGCTGCATTGAAAAATTAGCACTAGAACTATTTGGTGGTTTATTCTGGAACCCAAGTGGACTTTGTTCTGACCACTGGTAGTTAGAGATACTGCTGCTAGCGAATGAAGTTACAGGTGCCATCCAGTCTTTAAGGGGAGGAGGCGGCGGATCCGGGAAAGACACATTTCTTTTAGGAACACCTTTTTTCTTTTCCATTTCCTTCATATACAGTACGTCAATTGGTTCAATATATCCAACTTTGGCGACAGGTTTCATTGGATTATCCCAAAACGGGTTTCTTTGATTCTTTCCGTGCGACTTGTCTTCCATTTTACGTCTGCGATGTCTCTGCTTCTCTGTTTTAAGAGTTATGCTATCATCTGCGTCAGGTAAAGCCATTCCCATTGGTCTACACACTTTTAGAGGCAACCCCGAGATATTTTCATCCAGGCGGTCTTCTGAATTCTTTGAAAGTTTTTTATTGACAGTCTTCGATTTTCGCTGCTTTTTATTTCTTTTGACTTCTGCTTCCGTCTCGCTGTCTGATTTGATTTCTCCATCGCTACCAGAATTCCCCGATTCACTTGAAATATCAACTGTGTTCTCCTCTAACAAACTGGCGTCTTCTCTATTTTGACGCTTCTTCAAAGCCAGAGATCGTCTCGCCTCTCTTTCCTGCTCGTCGTCGCTATACGCAAGAGCCCCCTCCGGAGGTTCGTGATCATTTCTCCACGAGGCATCCGAACCCTTCATTTGATCCAGATCCGTTTGAAACACGACTTTGGTCATGTCAAAATCGGACAGACAACAATAAACTGGCATCCCAACCTTGACACCTTTTGACTTAACTTCACTCTCGTTGTTGAACCGCACAATGTAGAACGGATCTTTCACAGGTCCGAACACTTCAAACACTTGTCCGAATGCAGTTTTGTCCTCGTGGAACAAAACAGTTTCCGCATCCAATGCCATAGCTTCATTGGCTGACTTAATAATTACCATAAAGCCAACTACAGACATGACATGGCCAATGATCTGCATGTAAGCATCGTCTTCCAGGTTGAGATCTTTCAGCTCTTCAATCGCGGGCAGATCAGTGAACGCAACTTCGTTTCTTACGGTCGGTCCAGCGTAGTTGGGATGAAATTTCGGCTCCTCTTTATTTGATTTCTGGTTTTGTCGCAACTTCCGGTAGAACTCGCTGTCCGATTCGGATTCAGAATCACTACCCGGCTCCTCGAACGCCGATGCTGTTTTTGCCTCAACACTTTCTCGGTAACATTCCAAGCGTTTCACTTCAACTGAAGTCATCAGAGTGCCACTTTCCCGTTCAAAACTTTCTTTCCGGGTGATCACAGATTTGTAACTCTTGCTGCTGAATTTTTCTACGTCATTTCTCGGCTTGTCTCTCTTGTTCGAAGAACACTTGAAGTAATCTCCATCATCCGATTCATCTCCATCTTCATTACCTGTCAGATCCATTCTAGTTTGCTGACGTTCATCATCGTCTGATGATTCTTGTGAACTACCCGTGCAGTATCTACCTTTCTGTCCGAAAGGTCTAGTGAAATCTTTAGGCGCCTCGTTGAAATCTTTACTCAGTAGGTGGTCCAAGTAATCACCTGACCTCTTTTCACCTCTGTATTTAGAGTTAGACAATTTATAATTCGACATTCTGTTCTCATCTGAATCATCCGCAAGGAGAACATCCAGATAGTCAGCCGACCGTCTTTCCCTGCAACGCTTATCTCGCTTTCTATTATTTTGCTTATTCGTAGCATTTAATTTGTCCAATTTATCACAGTGGTCGTTATTCATCAGCAGTGTATCCATACAATCAAATGATTTTTTCCTTCGTAAATTCACAGAAGTTTCATTGGGGTATTTAGAGGCCATTTTTGAACACGTATTTCTACTCTCTAAAAGGCGATCCAGATAGTCAGAAGATCTGCTTTTACGACTGGGTCGATTTTTACCAATACTATCATAATCATTCCCTGCCTCAAACTTCACTTGATATTTCGGCTCTTTCAATCGGTCAGGCGACGAACTCCTGCTTTCGTCTCCCGAAGAATCGTAGTTATCCACTCGCCATGTTTGATTTGCAGAAAAATTTCGCGTATTTTTTGGACCAGCCACACCATTTAGAATGTTCCCGCAGGGGAGTACCTTGGACCTGTTCATGGTTTTGCCCACGAGTCTTTCCGAGGATACAAGATCAGAAAGCATTTCAGATCACGTCTTCTACAGAATAAAACAAGCAATCAATATTCACAAATACAAACCTGAAAATGCAGATGCAGATAATTTTTGTGACCGTGACACTAAACATAGGGGGTTAGGAAATTAGACTATAAGAGAATGAAAGAGCAGGACATAACTAAAACGGTCATTTAATTTAATATGATTCAATCTGTCGGTCTGCGACCCACGACTTCGCAGCGACCAAAGAAAAATTAAAACACAGATGCGAAGCGGAGCTTCCCGCCACTTGCGATAGAAAGCCACGCCAAAACATCAACACCGGAAAATTTCATATGCTTCTCTCAATTGAAACTCATTTCGATGAAAAACTGCTGTGAAACACAACAGCCAGCTATGAATTAGCATAAAAATTACCGAGCGGTAATCATTAAGACAAAACCGAGAAAAATTGTCATGAAAAAATCAAACGTGGATCCAAAATCCAAAAGCATAAACTGTAGAGAAGTTTTGCTTTTTTTGCAAAAACTTGATGCGCCATTAGTTTAAATGGAGTAGCACCAAAAATTCTCACACATTGTGAGGAAGAAAGGCAAAAAATAGCAAGGGACTAAATCCAAACTAACTACGACGACAATAAATATCCTAAAGAATAACGCTGGCAAAAAACTGTCGTCTACAACATTTTTTTCGCGATTAGAAAACTTTGAAAGGTATAAAAACAAAAAAACCTGAATAACATTAAGCTGAAAACTAAATTTGTTATTTTGAATGAAAAAAAAAATGAAAATTTCAAGCAAAACATGAAAAATTTTTTACAGGTAGTTTTCGATTTGATAGCCTCCTAAACCCGAGTCTATTGCTTCGAGAAGTTAAAGTTCTAGGAAAATATTTAGGATAGAAAGCACTTGAAGGAAAACACAAATCAATTGACAAAAAAAAACGGATTTAAAATTATATCTTAAAAATTGCGAATAAACTCATGACTTGAAATATTTTTGCCAAAAAGAGTTCTATAACAACAACAGGCCGCTTAAGAAGTATTCATGAAAAGGGTCTAACAAAGCTTTATTGAAAATACAAACTCGAAAGATGGAAAGATGAAACTAGGAAAGATGATAAAAAGTTAAAACAATTGTTTTGGAAAAACAGCGCAATGTATTCATATAACTTTGTTAAGATTTTCAGCATAAAAATTCAATGGAAATAGGTGATCAAAAAACAAAAGATACTCAGCCGTCGCAATTGAAAAATGATAACACAAATATGGATACACAGAAGCGAAAGAGATTTTGAGATATATGAAATATATTTCAAATTTGAAAAATTGCACCAAATTTATAAATTTCAAAAAACTTCAACACAAACCGCGATCAATCTATCCGCGAACCAAAAAACACCATCTGACAACCTCAAAACACAGGCGATGCAATCATTTGCTATCAAAAGAAAAAAAATCGTTTTTCTATATCAGAAAACTCAAATTGGATTGTTTCGAAAGAATGGTCCAGTCAGTCTGTTTTATTGAATGCCAAAAAATGAATAAAAATATTCAGACAAAATTTCCTCATAGCAGTGATGCAGAGCTTTGCACCATTTACGATAGAACAATGAATGACTCTCACTACTTACAAGACCAACGAAAAGAAAAAAAATCGAATCTTTTTTTAGTTACAAAAACTCCAAAAATACCCAACACCTTGGAACTGAAATAACTGCTTATTTAGAAAAATTACAGTGAGGCGAAACATCGCGCTAAATGCAAGAAAATCATTCATAGCAGGACCAAATAACCGACAAAAATAGAGATGAAAGCCGTAGAGAGAAATATCGAAAAAAATGATCTAACGAAAATTTCCAAAATTTGTCTTGATTTTGCCTTGAATAAAAACTTTTGTCATAAAAATATGCTAAGTAAAAATTGAATGTTAAATAAGCATCGAAACAAAACTTATAAACCGGGAACAAAGCCCACAATTCTTGAGCAGACACACGTTGCTACGGAAAAAAAATTGGAAAAACATACACTTAAGTTTAAAATCCGCTGGAAACTCTTGGATAAATTTTTTTTTCTCTCAGAATTCTCAAAACGGGCCTCTAAGCCCGATTTTTTAAAAGCCGAAACCTATTAAGCCGAATACGAAAACACAGCTAACAAAAACTGACATACTGAAATCGGAACTGGTAAAACTGCAAAGAACTTACAAAAATTCGAAAAGAAAGGAAATTTAAACTGCAAACATGCTAAAAACAGAAAAATTCTTTCACTGAAAAATTCTTTCACTGAAAAATTTGGTCGAAATAACCTAACGGTCAAAATAAACCCGGTAACCGATTTAGTCCAGATACCACTTACCAATCATTTTCAATTATAGTGAAAATTGTTATTAAAGAACAAAAACATTTACTATGACAATCTTATAGTTTTTAAACACTGAATTCAGTTTTTTTTAAAAAAATTCTGCAATATAAGGGCATTTTATAATGCTATATTAGGGCCTTCTCAAAATGAAACGCCAATTTAAAAAAGGTAGATATATAGATAGATTGATGAGCTATATATTATTCTCATGAATCAGTGACTTTCACCTGATTATATCAATAGGGCGATAGAAAAGAAAAAAAATTCTTTTTCAAAATAGCACATCTGATTGCTACAACTTCCGCTCAAAACTTCCGTCAAAGCGTCTCTAATTTTTTTTGAGGATAACGAACCATGACTGTAGACAAATGACCAAAACATGAACACACAGAGGCAAATCGGAGCTTCGTACAATTTGCGATACATACACAAACTTGTAAAGAAATAGTTACAAAACTTCAAAACCCGCAACAGAAGTCTAACCTGAATCAATCTATTCTCTATTTTTCCTTGAAATCATGAAAGCTTGTTTCACAAATTCAAAACAGACTATGTAATCATTTGTGAACAAGACAAAAAATCGCATTTTTTCCTGAAAAATTTGCAACCTGATAAGTTGATAATTTCAGATAGTATTGATAAAATGATCCACTCTTTGCTTTTAGTGATTGAGTTAGAAATGAAAAATATAACTAAATTCAAAAATCAATTGTTAACAAAATTTCACAGAAAGTTAGGGCAAAAACTCTTGGATTGTAAGTACCCTGGCCACAACACAAACCCATCAAAATAGCTTTCAGTTACTTTAAAAAAATGCTATATCAATAAAAGTCCATGCTGTGGAAAACTAGCGACAAAAAACCAAAACTAGCGAAACTAAAATTGGTGATATGTTACAATAGGTGGTAAATTTTAGGATAGTACATGCATTAGATTTTACGGCCTACTTGTTGTGATAAACTTATTAAATAGTTTCATGTGATATGATACGCTCATAATGGAACGCTTGTAAGAAGAAGGCCCAGTACGGGATTTTAGAGACAAGCTTGTCAAGCCTCGATACTCCCACTCTACCCGGACATCCCCGCCGGAACCTCCACCCGTGAAAAACCAGGTTGTAATCGCTTTCATTCCTTTTTTGTTATTTGTTTTAAAAATCAATTTCTTAACAAACCATTTTACAATCTATTCTTTCTCTTGTTTTGTCTCTTTTGTACCCTGTTTAGTGAATGACCGTGCCGAAGTACAGGCCGAAGTGGCTACCCAAACGGAGCAGGAAATTGGTAATAGGAACCTCAAGGACCAAGTACTGCAGCCCCAAAGATGTCGGAGCCACGGTTTACTCGCACAGAGGTGCAAAGCTAGCCGTCTTGCCGCAACTGTCTCGCGCTACCCCTCGCAGAAACTGAACTGTGTTATTATAGTAGCCGGCTTTAATGATAACTCATCTACGGTTTCAGACTTTGCTAATGATTGGAGATTTTAAATAAATTTGATAATTCATAAGTTTAACCCAAATGCTTATTATCCCCAAAACCATCCTCTCTGCAAATAATCACTTCATTAACAGAAAACTTGGTGCTCTAAATAACTCTTTGTTTCGCCTTATTAAAACGTTTTACCACTCAAGAATTCGAATTATTTCCCCCAATCTAAACGTTTTCAGTTTATTGCTCGCTCAGCTAACTTGTATATATTCACCATAAATTTACCCTCCTCGCTGCCAAATTATGGCCGATCAAACGCACTGCCATATTTGCAAACTCCACCTCCGAAAAGGAGGCATATGGTGTGTCATTTGCAAAGCATACATCCATGTCTCATGTAACGGGCTACAGAGCAGCAAATTTTATTACGATGGGTTCTTATGCATACAATGCACCCCCAAGAATTTTGCAAAAGGGCCCAACTCAGCCAACAGACCAACAAGCACAGCCCTCATCACAACTCAGAAAGAAACATCACCGGCAACACCTGAAACAAACGCACTGCCCAACGCAACACAATCTGATCTATCGCCCCCAGCAATCACTACAGCCCCCTTCGACCCCTGGAAACTTATCAACCAACAACTTGAAATTAAAATAAATGACAAACAAAAATGTCGTTAACTGGAAACCGCGCTTCATAGTTCTAAGCGAGAACAAGCCCGGTTTCCAATTCATAGAATTACTGAACCAGCAGATGTTGTTATTAGTAGAAGAAACACCAAATTCTAACGTCGCAATGAAAGCAGCAAGGATTCTCCCATATTTGCTGCTTCCCAAAATTAAATCAGAAATAAACGGATCAAATTCCAAAACACTGAGCCGCCGCATAATTTTATGGAAGCAAGAACTATTAGACGAACTTTTCACTGAAGCGAAAGCTCTCCAAATTAGACATCCCAAACAGATCAACTATAAACTTATCAGTACAGGCAAAATATCTGCCGCCATTGGCTGCCTTTCAGACAAGAAAACAAAAGAAGTACTTCCCCTAAACGAATTCATTGAAGGAAAAACAGTCCTTAGTATCCTGAAAGAAAAACACCCCCAAGCCAAAACAGCGAACTCTAACTATATAACTGAAGTAAATAAAGACAACGCCATACCACCCCTCTATATTCGAACAAATAAACGCCAAGACAGTTCGAAAATCAACCCTGAAAACGCACGGAAGCCACGGTCCCTCAGGTCTAGATGCGTGCGAATGGAGAAGGATATTAACTCAATTCAAGCAGACGTCCATTGAGCTTTGTAAACAATTGCTAAATTATCCTATACAATAGCAAGTAATGTTGTCCCCCATGAAAACTTAACGGCGTACAACTCCTGTCGCCTGATACCTCTGGACAAAAATCCAGGGGTATGGTCCTGGTTTGGGCGAGGTTCTGAGAAGAATAATTGGCAAAACAATCAACCAATGTAAAAATCAGACCTTCAAAATCTCGGAAAAATTTCCAACTCTGCTTAGGCCAGAAGTGTGGAATCGAATATGCTACCCAGAACTTGAGGAATGAGTTTGAGAAACCGGAAACGGACGGCATACTACTTATTGATGCAGAAAACGCCTTCAGCTCGCTCAATAGAGAACTTGCTCTAAAAAATGTAAAATCCTTTCTCCGGCACTAGATCATGCGCTGGCCAACTCATATAAACATCCCTCAAATTTAAATACCAATAACACGGATTCAGTTTAAAAAAATCATACAGAAAGATCTTGCATCTACCACCTACAAAGCAAGCTCTAGCCCTTTATAGACAACACAATTTAGGTGCATATTTGTAAGTAAATCATTTCGAACTAACTTCAAAATGTACCATTCTTTGAACAAACTTTTTCTGGGAGAAAAAACTCTGGTACCTGGTTGCAATACCCTTGCTTATTGCAAGGGTAATGATACTAAAAAGAAGCAAGGCGATCCACGGCAAATTTCAAAACTTTATGCTAGAAACTATATAGCTTTACATACAGCGACAAAATGAACACTCTGCGCGTTCCCAAAAAATACAACTGACATCTGACGTAGAAGTTGAAAATAAAAAAAAAACAGTAAATTTGCTAAATATTCGCTTTAACTATGGAGTATGTTTTATACCATTGAAATTTCAGGAAACTAAAAATTACCGTTGAAAATAGTTTTAACCAGGACACGCCCCGCAGACCAACTATGAAATAAAGAAGTCGAAGAGAACAGGTCTTTCAAGTCGTTTAAAGCAGGCTAAATTGTCGTCTAAGGGTTGCGCAAAGTATTTTGCAAATAGAAAGGAACTCGTTTGGAGTTGAATTTGTATTACTTCTGATGAAAATTTTGCCAACTTGTCTGTGCTAACATGAACCATTAAAAAGGAGCCAAAACCCTCCAGCAATTAAGCCGCAGACGTATTAAAGGTCCTCTACATCTCAAGAGTTTGTGTCGATTTGAAACTATCAATCGCCTGGAAAAAAGGGCCGTCTAACTATTTTGAATTCGGTCACTTTTTTGATATCTCACTCCTAACTCACTGCCGTGTCTTTAAACATCGAAACTTAGCGACAAGAAAAATATGCCAAAAAATTGCATTTCCTTATTGAAAATCTAATTATTGTAATAACGGGTCACATTTTTATCCCCACCGTTTAGACTTAAGCATTCATAAGCGTCAATAAAACGTAGCAATCAGCAACATGCAACAAATGAGAACCGTTGAAAAATTAATCAACCCAGAAAATACATCAAGTTCAAATTAAGTGGAACTCAGAAGCAGAGGAATGAATAGGAAGGATTAGTTATTCAAATTATTATCAATGCAGATGGAGCTTATATCTAAGCAGTTTCACTGTTACTACTCAAGGAGGCGGTAGCTTCCCTAATATTTCATGCATGGGAAGGATCCAGGGCACTGAAACCCTTGGTATGAATATATAAACATGGCTTTGGGTGTGTTCGATTCTGTGCACTTCGATTCCTTGTTCTTCAGGCATTTGATTCAGTTGCGGCTGGAATGCCTTAATCGCAAACCGCTTAGATGCAGAACCTTGTAAGCATTCTCGGAAAGCGACGCAGATTTTTCTTCTTAGGTTCCAAGCAAGAAGTATCTTAACTTCAGTCAGAAACAACGCGTCGACGCGTTGCAAACCATGAATAGCAGGTGTTAATTGAGTAGATATATCATTACGAATTATAATTATGTTCTCACTAGATGAAACAGTTATCGCAAAAAGGTTCATATTCAGATTACAAGTAAACAAATCCGGCTTTTCGGTGCAGGTAACATTTTTGACACTTTGATCTTGTTTGAAGGGTCTGATGACCTTGAGAACTGGATCCCATATCAATACGTTGAAATCTGGGCAACAATAGAAGAAAAGACAGTTAGCTGGGATTATATCAGGGAACGGTTCAGAAGTGACGACTGTAGCATCACTACAGCAATCACTACCCCAGCAATCACTACAGCCCCCTTCGACCCCTGGAAACTTATCAACCAAGAACTTGAAATTAAAATAAATGACATAAATAAAAATGTCGTTAACTTGAAAACGCGCTTCATAGTTCTAAGCAAGAACAAGCCCGGTTTCCAATTCATAGAATTACTGAACCAGCAGATGTTGTTATTAGTAGAAGAAACACCAAATTCTAACGTCGCAATGAAAGCAGCAAGGATTCTCCCATATTTGCTGCTTCCCAAAATTAAATCAGAAATAAACGGATCAAATTCCAAAACACTGAGCCGCCGCATAATTTTATGGAAGCAAGAACTATTAGACGAACTTTTCACTGAAGCGAAAGCTCTCCAAATTAGACATCCCAAACAGATCAACTATAAACTTATCAGTACAGGCAAAATATCTGCCGCCATTGGCTGCCTTTCAGACAAGAAAACAAAAGAAGTACTTCCCCTAAACGAATTCATTGAAGGAAAAACAGTCCTTAGTATCCTGAAAGAAAAACACCCCCAAGCCAATACAGCGAACTCTAACTATATAACTGAAGTAAGTGAAGACACAACGCCATACCACCCCTCTATATTAGAACAAATAAACGCCAAGACAGTTCGAAAATCAACCCTGAAAACGCACGGAAGCCACGGTCCCTCAGGTCTAGATGCGTGCGAATGGAGAAGGATATTAACTCACTTCAACCAGACGTCCATTGAGCTTTGTAAACAATTGCTAAATTATCCTATACAATAGCAAGTAATGTTGTCCCCCATGAAAACTCAACGGCGTACAACTCCTGTCGCCTGATACCTCTGGACAAAAATCCAGGGGTACGGTCCATTGGTTTGGGCGAGGTTCTGAGAAGAATAATTGGCAAAACAATCACCCAATGTAAAAATCAGACCTTCAAAATCTCGGAAAAAATTCCAACTCTGCTTAGGCCAGAAGTGTGGAATCGACTATGCTATCCAGAGCTTGAGGAATGAGTTTGAGAAACCGGAAACGGACGGCATACTACTTATTGATGCAGAAAACGCCTTCAACTCGCTCAATAGAAAACTTGCTCT